GTTTACTTCCAGTAATGTTTAATGAGTTTCCAATCGCACATGATATGTTTGAAGCATTAACATTAAATAGAAAAAAGGGCATCGTTCAAACCTCACCCATAACCATTTGATCGCTTTCTGTAAATCAATAACTAATTTGATATAACAGCTGTCAAAAACAGTTTACAATTTTCTTGTTCAACCCTGCCAACATTGACTGTTTAAAGCTATCCAGGGGATTGAGTGTAATGTATTGAAAAGTTCTGCGGCTTAAAAACATTATCAGTTATTATTGTTCGAAATTTTTTTCAAAGATATTTTACCCGTTCGAAGGTGTAGATTACTTTTCTAGTGCGAAATTGCAACTGAGTATTATATGAAGAATGATATATATATATATATATATATATATATATATATATATATATATAAAAGTATATGAGTGCACAAATATGTAGGTCAAATTGTAAAAAAAATATATTAAAAGCTCTTTTATGTCCGTGTGTGGAGAATGAAAAATATATACAATTCAATTTTGTTTTATGTTTATATAGTAAAGAAAGCTAAATTTGTATACAGAATACAAAAGCCAATTGGAACGATAGAATATAATCAAAGGGAAAATAAACGATAAAAGATCTCCTAAGATCTTCCACCCATTCATTGTTTTTTGTTGTTATAAAGCAAATTAAATATAATTTCCGAGTTTGTCATGCTGAAACGTTTTTGAACCTCAAAGGGAATGAGCCGGCGAAGGAGAGCCGTTGTTTTTAGATTAATCTGCTTTGAATTCTATCTAGGCGTTCACGTGGTGTAGTCAGCGACCTGCAAACGGACGACAAATGAAACCAGTGGTCCATGAACATGCTTTCCCGGACCCTGAACAATCGAGGAAACAAACTACGACCCTATTTAGTTACACCTTTAAATAACAACAGAAACAAAGCAAGTGGAAACATAATTTCTTGTGCAATGTACGGATTTCAACGGAACCGGAAAACGGGATTCGGCAGAACACAGATCCTAAAGGTTCTTTTTCAACATTTTCAAATTAAGCTGGTACATACTGAAGTTGCCCAACGTTGAAATTTGTAGAAAATTTCAAAGTGAACTCTGCTTAATTGCCCCAATTGAGCGAATTTTTATACTTACAAGGACATTACAAATTCTACAAATTTGTCTTCAGCAGCAAATCAGCTGTATTCGTACTTATAAACGCTTAGGATACAAGTACATATTAATACTTATGGTACTACTTACTTGTTAGTACAAAATATTCACCAGAGAATGATTTAAACAAAATGAAGTAGTCTAACCCTGCGTCTGCTACACTCAAGGGGTAATTGGACGTTAAGCTGTCCTGTATGACAGGTTTTTCTCTTTATTAACAATGAAAATATTTAGTAATAGCCAACTAAAAAAGTTTCTGTTTTTGCTAGAACGATTGTAAAACAAATATAACCAACAATTTTAACTTATACCAATAATTGACCACTATTGACATTAATATTAGTAATAAGCAACAAATAGACTGAAAATACAGTTTTTCAATGCAACTTATACCCTGATTTAGGAAGTCAGCTTGATTTTACACATTCTAATTCTACAATCTACTCAGCTAATTATTTTAGGGAACGATGAAAATATTAAATTATTGGGCTTTATCTAAATGACTAAAATCCCGTTATTTTATCACTAGAAGTGCTTTAAATTGATTTAAAAAAATTCTTTAAAATTTCTATGAAAATGATTATAAAATTCAGATTATAATTGGGTGCTTTACAAATTGAAATCGTACTTGATTGGGATTAGTGTAGAATTTCATTGTTGATTTAAGATCTTTACACTTTTTCTTTGTTTAGCGATCATGAGAATGCTTAAAAATTAACGTTTAATTAAAGTACTTTACATACTGTTACAATTTCTAAAAATCATGTAACAAGCACTACGTGGAAAAAAAAGTTGTAATTATTACAGTTTAACTTATGATCAAAAGTTATCCCATGCTATTTCTATTGAATTAGGAAAAAACAATGCAAACACTGCATTTTAACCAGGTTTTTGTTTTACAAGTTTATGAATACAATACATATTTTTTTCTTTGTGTGTAATATCCCGGAAATATTAACATTGTAATTTCATCTAAATTAATTTTTTTAAACATAATTAATACGAATTTATTACGCTAAAGAGCCGGGTTTGAGATTACAACTAATATGAACTAGTGAATGATCTACGGAAAGAGTTTAAGATATTTTTCTGAATTTTTTTATATTTATAATCTAATTGCTTTTCTTAAGTAAATTTGATAACATCTTAAAAACGTAAAGCTAAACAAAATGAACATAAAAAATATAATAAAATAGAAAAAAAGGAACTACTCATTAGTATTCAATCATATATATTTGTGTTAATCACTTTTACTGACACTTGCGAGGTCGAGGATGATAACTTGGAAGGGTGGGATGAAAAGTTTCTTATGTAAGGGTTTGTATGTCTGAATAATTGTTTGTGCAATTTCTTGTAGCGAGTTTTCGCTACCTCAAGGACATATTAAATATTAAACTCATTGTGATGGTAAGATTGGATTCATAGAAATGATCACTGACGATGATTCGTAGGATGTTTGATTGTAGGGATTGGATATATTGGGGGTTGAAACGTTTTCTTGAAATGGGTCTCAAAATAAATGCTTTTTTTGTAGAGACAGTTTTGATAGTTTGTCCAGAAATATTTAAAGAAGGCTGGAGCGTCTGTTTAATTTGATAGCTGACTTCATTAGCTGGTGGGCTGAAAAAATAAATTCTGAATTTCAAACTCAACACCGAAATAAATTTTACGATTGAACTTTGAGGAATATCGCGTACTCTGGGACAGTGTGAAGTATGCCTGGTGTATGAATATAATTAAATTAGTGGATGTGGGACCCTACCTCAGTTACTCCGAGGACTGTCGAAGGATCTGGGACATTATGAATACTAACTAAACTATCGTGTTTTTAAACGTATATATTTTTATTATATGTGTAAATTATTTTGTGTTTGTATGTAGTTTTATCCTGGACTGACGTTCAGGGGCCAAGGCATAGGATAAAGAAAGAGAGCTTGGGTTACTTAAATCCTTTTTTATAATTCTTTATAATTACCATATTAGCCAGAACACGGTATTGTAGGTTGTATATCATATATAAATTTTTGGAGGAAGAGGCCTGAAAAGGCCAAAGGCGACGGAGGAATCGAACGCACGACCATAGGGTCTACGAGCCCAATGTCTTCTCGAAGAATATAACTTAGCTGCAGGAGTCGGAAAATAAATTATCAAGAATAAAATGAGAGAAGAACGAAAAAGGACATAAACAGCCTGACCTTGGATGATCAATGTAATACAGTGTACTCTAATACTATCTACAATATATATTTGGGACTGATTTTCAATGCTAATCTTCAGTTGTATTTTAATATTTTATATGAATATAAATTCAAAATATAATACGATAATAAACACATGATTTAAGATTGACAAGAAATTTCATCGTAAAGAGTAACACTTGGCTGAAAAAGGCAATTTTGATGAACCCTTTCTCGTTTAGGTTTAATTGTGTAGCCGATGTGATTATTTTACAAATATTTAGAAATAGTAGTCTTTCTTGATACCGTAACTTAAAAAAAAAATTAACTGTATATCCAATATCTTCTTAAATAAACTTTTATTTATTCTATCTATAGAAAATAATTTAAAGCCTTTAATTATTATTATCTTAAAGTATGCAATTCTAATTAGTATGAGAATCAATTTTAGTTTGCAAAAATACTTCTACTTTTTAGTTTTTTAGATCAATGGATGAAATTTTGCATACTTGACTAAATATTAACCGCCATTTTGTGTTAATTTGTTGTACTCATTATACCACATTTATTTTTGTAGTTTTGTGGTTAGAGTAGGTAAATATACATATGCAATGTAATCATTTTACTATTATTTTTACTTTGTTGATACCCCAACCAAAAAAACTCTGACATATATCTAAAATAATCATAGCTAGACAAATACATATACAATTATACTGTATAGATTCTGAAGTAAGCATTTATTTATTCTATCTATAGAAAATTATTTAAAACCTATATTTAAATTGTTAACCTGAAGAAAACATTTCTGCTTTTTAGTTCATATTTTTGACAGTAAGCAAAATGATCACTGGATGAAATTTTGCGTATTTGACTGATATTATTATTAAGCGTTAATTTTTGTTAATTTATGTTATTATGTACACCAAATTAATTTTTGTAGTTTTGTGGTTAGATTAGGTAAATTTACATCTTTAGTACTTCATAGAAGCAATTGTAATATACTATCGTATGTGGTTATTATATGCTAATGTTTATCTCCGGATGGTTGATAATGGAATGCATGAAGCATATTGCTCGGAAGGTAGTAGACATTATCATTTGTCAGGATATGACACAACGCGTCACCATTGACAGAAACGTCACCTGTCTGCCGAGCGACATTGCTATTGATTCGCTGGGCCGGTCCTTTTCACCTGCGTCACCGGGGCTTTTTCTCTTTTTTTCTTTTTGAAAAGCGTTGTTTTGAACGGAGTTTGGTACATTGGCCGTAAAGTGTAAAATTTGCTTAATGTCGTGTACCTAATTGTAACGGCTGCGAGGGTCCGGCACCCTTGATGATGTCAGCAAGGGGCCGGCGGATTTATTTTCTGCTGACCGGGTTATTGCTAGGACTGACCATTCGCTGGTCGGCCGTGATTGAGAGACCCCTTCCCCGCCCGGGAATTACAATAAAAGACCCAGTCAGTCGCCAGTAATACTTTCCTCTTTGGGAAAATAACACTAAATCATACATTTTGCGGCAAGAAAATGTGTTATGTCGCATAGGCGTTTTCCCTCTCGGGATCGGCTCAGTTTCGGTGCAGGCAGCGTGGAAAATAATTTCAATATATTTTTTTCATCAAAGCATAATAACATAGTACTTTTAAAATAAAAAGTCGTCTGATGACTTACCTCCGCGGTTTTCACTATCCGCTGGCTTCACCTGGATGGGCCGGTTCATCTGGAAAATTAAAAACAAATTTAATACGTAATTTTTTTTAAACTAATCTTACTAATTTAAGCCACCATATATGCAAAAGTTACATGCAGAAACAACTGATTGACAATACATTGGGTGGTGGGCTTGACGGACATTTCTGCAGATTGTATAATTTGGTTCTAAGCTCAATAAACTTTTAAAACAATTTAATAAGAAAATATAAACTTATTTTCTATGTAATTACATTTTAATTTTGGTTTGATAAATTATCAAACAAACGGAATTGATAAATAAAACCCTTCACCCAAGGAAAAGAACGCAGTAAAGAAAACTATCAACTTTTTATCCCGCAAATAATAATGGTTATGTACACTGTAAGGATGTATTTATGTATATGAATATATTTATTTGTATGAATGTAGGTTTGAAAGGGTAAATAGAATATATACTTAGTTACGGGCTGAAATAACCTAGATGTCGGAAGCCCCAGTCAAAAAAAAAAAAGTTATACTTTGCTCAAAAATTTCGGACAAATTCTGGTCTCTGTAGAATTTTGTAATGGCCAAATTTTTAAATTAATATATGGAATAAAATGAATAGGTCAAACCCGCTTATTAGTAGAAGGTAGGAGACACATCATCACCAGTATAACTTTTCTAGTTGATATCAACAGTACGTTATGTTGAAAGTTGCCGTTGCAATACAATTGTGGCCTTTATGTAAAAAAAGTAAACAATAGAAAACACCGCTATTTTTAAGTCTCTTAAGGCAAAACATAACCTTTTTTTTAAAGAAGTAAAAGTTAAATCTCCACAATTTATAATACCTACAACAACAGAAATACTCAATTTATTTTAAAATAGTTTTAATTTTGGGATACATAACCTGTATTTTGTTGGGATTATTTTTGTCAGAAGTATAAAATAGACATTGCCATCAGGCTTTAAATGATGCACACAAAAATTTCCACTATAATTATTTCTTATAATAAAGTGTATTGGACTTTAATCTTGTAATTATACATAGTAAAGGTGTGGCCGCATTTTGAGCATTAAAACAACTCCCGATCGACCCATTCATGCTGTCTTGCCAAGAGAATTAGCAAGTAATAAACAAATTGAATGTTTTGAAAAAGTAAACTATAAAAAAATAGTAATGATTGGCCATCAATGGAATAATCAAAGATGGTTAGTTTATACGACTTTGACCTCAGTATACAAGGTGTGGCAAGGATAAGGATAATGAGAATTAACTATTAGAGAAATGGATACCGTCCTTATGTCTACTTTTACTGATTAGGGCCATGTTGTTAAACTTTAAACAAAACCTTTATTTTTTATTTTCCCTTCAATAGAGTTCAAGAATCTGCACTTCCCGTTAGTCTCATAGTGCAAGGTTTTTATTTCCTCATTGAATACAAAACTTTATTTTAATGTAATGTTTTTTCTAGATTCATCAAAATGCGAATAGCTTGAGGCAAATTGGCAGGAGTTGGTTTATCAGACGAGCTGCGGCGACTGGCCGGCCTTATCGGCCAGAGGCATAAGGACAATATCATCAATTTCCAATGTGTTTAGAGACAAACCTCATCTGTCACTGTGTTCATTAATTCATTGAAAACCAGCTTCCCAAACCTAATTTGGAGAGTTTATCTTAGAACATTTTTGCAAGCTTTAATATAAAAACAATCATCGTCAAAATCATTGAGCCAAAAAATTAGATTTTTTCACTTCAGTGGTTTGTGTTAAGGTACAAAGCACTGTAGAGGATTGTGATTCCTCACCCTGCTTATATTCCTAATCGGTCGCTAGAAGATAAAAGAGAAGCCGAAACGCGTCTGATCAACAAGGCGGACCAAAACTTTAAACAAGTGACATGTTTGTATTGAGTGTTGTGTTAATGTAATTTTATTTAATTTATTTAATTGGAATGAATGCAATTTATTAGCGTGAAAGGAAAGTTGCTTCCTCCGCCCTGAGGAATATTGAATACTATGGGAGCGTGAACGTCAACTGACAACTGACTTCTATGTTTCTATCGGGTGTTGTGTTTATGTTAATTTAATTGAATGAATCAATTTATTAGCGTGAAAGGAAGCCTCGAGGAATATCGAGTACTCTGGGGTGAGTGTGTGATGTCCGAAGAGTAAAAGTAAGTTATTAGCGTGAAAGGAAAGGGTTGTTTCACCCCGATCTGAAGAATATCGAGTACTCTAGGGGAGTGAATGTGACCAGACCTCAGGTTGTCAAGAACTGAATAGACACAATATATATATATATATATATATATATATATACATTTTAATTAAGATTAATTTACATTAATGTTATTAAGTTTTTAATAGTTTTTAATAATAATATATTGAAGGTTAATAGGCCGACAAACAGCTGAGGTCATCACGGCCCTTTGCGTGTTTTTACATCTTTTTCTGGTCTTTCATGCGTATTTTGTTTTAAGCTGCAGTAATTTTAAGTCTCGATTTGATAACTGACTCTTCGCATTTATATGAAAACTAAGTCGATATCCTAAAATACTAGCCTTTCATTTGTACCTCAGGTTGTCAAGTACTGAATAGACACAATAAAGGTCGGGGGTTTTTCTCTTCCACCAAACTCATTTTCTTCTAAGAGACGCAAGGCGAAAGTATCCGCACAAATCCGACACTATCCGGAAGTTGCATTTTCCGGAACGCGTTACAATTTTCCAAAACAATCGCGGAAAAGTTTTCTAAAGTTTCGCTGGTTAGTTTCGTCATGGGTTTAAAGTTGAAAAGGTGGGTCAAATGATTCATTGTCCTACCTAATACGATTGCTATCGTATCTTTTCACAAGAGCCTCCCAAGCTTGTGTATAATTAGCCTCAGATATTTCGATAGCGGAAATAACTTGAGCCGCGGATCCCTTCAGACAGGATTTCAAATAATGAAACTTTTGCACCTCCATTAACTCTACATTCGTATGTATTAGCGACAAATACGTATCCTTAAAAGGAGTCCATTTTGACAAATCACCGTCAAAGGTAGGCAGATCCAGGCTGGGCAGTTTCAGATGGACCAAATGTACTGCGGACTGATTGGAACACAAAGTCGTGTTGCGCGACGGACTATCTCTCTTTATTGACAAAGCTAGGGTTTCATAGTACTCAGTTTGCACCTTAGCCTTCAATTTCGTGAATTCGTCATAAGGCATTTTATCTTTTCTCATCTGTTTCCGTATTTCAGCGATCAATGAAACAAACTTCTCAAATGCGCTATTCAGTTGGGAAAACGGGCTTCAAAGATCAGTAATTCATCGGTGTTTTCCTGTGAGCTCTTTCCGATGTCCAATGTTCTGTGAATGTCCTCGGCAAGTTCGGAGATTTGCTCCTCCGAGGCGGATATCTGATCTTCCTTGTCTCCTCACGCTTCTCAAGATATTTCTACTTTTCTCCCATTGGCTATATATATATAGTGTCTATTCAGTACTTGACAACCTGAGGTACAAATGAAAGGCTAGTATTTTAGGATATCGACTTAGTTTTCATATAAATGCGAAGAGTCAGTTATCAAATCGAGACGTTCAAATTACTGCAGCTTAAAATAAAATACGCATGAAAGACCAGAAAAAGATGTAAAAACACGCAAAGGGCCGTGGTTACCTCAGCTGTTTGTCGGCCTATTAACCTCCAATTTATTATTATTAAAAAACTTAATAACATTAATTTAAATTAATCTTGGCTTATATAATTTTTAAATGAATTTCCACTACATATTGTACAGTTTTGTGACGCAAATGACAGAGATGATTCTTCATCTCTAAACCTATTGGGACTTATTTTTCGATAAGAAAAAAAGTACCATTGAAAAATAGCTAGTATTTTTGATAATTTCATATGAAATACACAGGCTTTTGTGTTAAAGAAAAGTCGATCCCCGGTTTAGAGAAGCATTCAAATCTCCCGGAGCTTTGTGAGTTGGATCGCTTTCAACATGCATCGTCCACTGTATAAAACGAATTCTTGACGAAAAATTTCACATTTTTGGCTTGTTATGATTACAAGAGGACGTCTAATTGTAATTTTTTGTTCCGAAACGATCCATGGGTTTTATTTTTCGAATATTGTTAATTAGAGCACGAAGTCGCCATTCATTCATATATTTCTCGTTGCAGCGAAATTAATCGATATCTGCATGCAATTTTAAAATCAGTATAGTTCAATTTTTTAAAGAAAAAAGATTTCTGCAAATCTAGAATAAAACATACAAAAATTTATTTATGTAAAACATTCTCCCATATATTGAATATATTCTAATCATTTCAAAGTATATGATTCTGAAGTTTTGTCTACACACTACACTGGATCCTTAAGGATTATCCTGATTCGCTATTTTTCCTCTCATCTTAGGAAAGATAAAGATGTTAACATTGATCAAATAATAGAAATGAGGAATGGTGGGGCGAGTGCGTGTTCAATCCTTTTTAAAAAGATAGTTCCTACTCACAGTACGTTGTTTTGCAACGATCCGGATTTCGAGCTTTTAGCTCATCATCAGGTTGTAGATCTGATGATGTTTTAGCTCATCATCAGATCTACAACCTGATGATGAGCTAAAAGCTCGAAATCCGGATCGTTGAAGAGAACTTACTGTGAGTAGGAACAATCTTTTGAAAAAAATTATTGTTTAAAGACGTATTATAGAAAATTCATTTTTGAATTAAAGCGAAAACTATTTGCCTGTGAATAAAACTAGCACAAAAATTTATTCTAACCATTTTCTTTAATAGTATAAATAATAAAGTTTGTAAGAGCGTCGGTGGCGATGACACGGAGCTCATTATTGTAAGGTAAAGGTCCCGGGTTCAAACCCGACATACTTACAAATGGGCTTTATTCAAAAATACAGGCACTCAAGGAATTGATAAAATGCTGTTGAGAACCCCCGTGATCAAAATATGTGATTGTTAATAAATGCTTGGAGAGGAATTTTAGACTAGAAGACAAAGGAATTGAACACTTAAACATGCAAAACTGTGACCTATTTT